GTTTTCGTTTCCTGTATGTCTTTAACGTTCATGTCTTCCAGGCACTAGAGCAATCACTTCCAGAAACTACCTATAATAAGGAATACTTGGCAGATCTCATGGATTGTCCGCACATTATGCGTAACGTTGCTATTGTGGGTCATCTTCATCACGGAAAAGTTCGTTTTGATTTTTTTCAGTTCATTCAAGATTGAATTTTTCTTCGCTGAATTTATGTATTGCAAAGACGTGTTCTTCATTAGGCGACCAGTATATGGTATTTAATTCGAAATTTGCTATGAGGCTCTGAGAGCCATTTGTGGTGATCGGTTGAAACATCTTCAATGGAATCCGGAAATTTTCTGCTTGTTCCATAAATTCACTCGAAATGTCCGATGCAGTAGTGTGTTTCATTTGAGGCAAAATGTTTCGTCACTGAACTGATTTTCAGACGACCTTCATTGATTGCTTGATTGAGCAAACGCATCCAGAATTCATGCGTGGTGACGATATCGATACACGTTTTACGGATACACTCTTCATTGAACAACAACGTGGTTGCAGTATCAAAGCGATGCCAGTTACACTCGTCATGGAGAATTCACGTCATAAAAGTTTTCTTCTCAACCTTATCGATACTCCCGGTTCGTTGAACTCTATGATTTTCATTCAGGTTTTTTGTTTTTCGATTCATTTATCCGGTAACTCACTGCTTTGTTTGCAGTGAGTCTCTAAGCGGCCAAGTCTGTATGTAAAATAAATGTGTAATGAATGTATTCTAGGCCATGTGAATTTCTCGGATGAGATGACTGCAGCATATCGACTGAGCGATGGTGTTGTGGTTATAATTGATGCGCATGAAGGGGTTAGTTTTATCCGAAGCGTGATTCTGCGCAATTGTGTCAAGTCTTTCTACATTTAATTTTGTGGAATCTAACGTTCACGGATCTCCACGTTGGAGTGTTACTCGCCTTTGCTTGGTGGTGGTAGTATGATGCAGTAGAATTTAGCGTTTTGTAAAGTGTCGATGAATGATGCAAAAGTGTTCGTCACGAATAATTTTCTTGTTCAGTAATGTTATCAAACGATTTCGGCTTAGAAGGTATTATCGTCATTTTGAGGTGATGCTCCAAACGGAACGCGCAATTCGTCACGCAGCTCAAGAGCGGCTTCCTGTCGTAGTGTGCATCAACAAAATTGACCGGTTGATTCTCGAACTGAAATTGCCGCCCACTGACGCCTACTACAAAATACGATTCATTCTCGATCAAGTGAACAGCTTACTTCAGTAAGAATAAGCCGCACAGTCTTGTTTTTTATTTGATTGATCGCAGTTCGTTTACATAGAAAGCAACGGAATAATTTGTCAGCGGTTTCTGAAATTACATATGACATTATTTTAGTTTCGAACATGTGATTATCGAAATTTCATTCGTATCACAAACTTCGACCAGAAATGTTGTGCAGTTAGAGAATTGTGATTGAATGTGATAGTATTTTGCCTACGTAAATTTTAAATAGTGCATCGGCTCATCAGAATATGTCCAATGAATTTTTTTTTTCAGTTATGCATGCAAATGCATAAATGAAAAAAAAAAAGCAGAACGTTGTCCACTTTATACGCAACTGTCGATTGTGAGCATTCAAAAACAAAGCAGAAAAAGTTTCCTCGCAAATGTCCGATGATTATCATCATGGACATTCGTGTTGTAGCGATTGTTGATATTATTTTCATTGATAGTATTCAAGTTTCATCAATACCATTGCCTCATTAAAACTGTTCGTCTTTTAGGACGTTCAGCGACGAAGCCGAAGGTGTGCAAGTATCACCTTTACTCAACAATGTTGTGTTCGCTAGTTCGCGTTATAACATTTGCTTCTCGCTGCAGAGTTTCGCTGATTTGTATGCGGATCACTACGGTGAGTGGTCGATTACAGTCGAAGTTTTGTGGTAGAGCAGTAAATTGATTCAGAATAATTTTTACAGATCATCTACAAAACAAGAACGTGAAATAAATAATCATCAACTTGTAGGTACGTTCAGTGGTGTTGAGTTTGCACGACGGCTTTGGGGTGAGCAGTACTTTGATAAGAAATCTCGAAAATTCGTTAAGAAACCGCCACACTCGGGTGCGCCTCGTTCGTTTGTTGAGTTCATTCTCGAACCAATCTACAAAATATTCTCACAGGTTCTTATAATTGTCATTAATATTATTACGATTTCATTATCAGTGATTTTGAACATCTAATGAATATGATGATAGGATCAGCAATGACATATTCTAACAGTGATCCTACGAGTTGGGTCATTGTTTCATTGGTGAGAAAAGTTTTGATTTGAAGGTTGTTGGTGATGTGGATACGTGTTTACCGTTGATGATGTCTGAACTTGGTATCAAACTGAGCAAAGAGGAGCAAAAAATGAACGTGCGTCCATTGGTTGCACTCATTTGCCGACGTTTCTTCGGCGATTTCTCATGTTTGTTTACTTTTTCGTATAAGTTTTTATTTGCAGTTCATATTGTTTCGTGATACCATCATTTTATTCATTTTCTATTGCAGATCATTACTGATATGAATCTGTTTTGTACCTTTCATCACCTGTTCCAAATCCATTGAAT